AACCACTAATCCCAACATGTACTGTAATTGCCATACTTTGTGATGGAATAAAGCTCTATATCAACATTTAGATTTTCCAACAAACCAAACTATCAGTCCTGCAGTTTTGTTTTAAGATGATAAAATACAACAACAAATACAATGGTATCTGTTTTCAGCTGGGAGATTTAAAAATTGTTTTAGATTTTCAGGAACTCTTTTATACGTAAACCTACAGGGTGAACCTGGACGAGGTCTTCCAGGTCCAAAAGGTGTACAGGGCTACACAGGAGTTACAGGTTTCTCGGGGGAGAAGGGTAATGTTGGATTTCCAGGTGTTCCTGGACGTGAAGGACAGACAGGACCTCCAGGACCTCAAGGTCTTAAAGGTAAAGTAAGAAATACCTTGTCTGTGAAGTTTTATTGAATATAATTTGTACCATGTACAAAAGCTGATGCTGTTTTGTTTGAAACAAAGGGGAAGTTGGACCTCCGGGACTTTCTGGACCAGCTGGCCCACCAGGACCTCCCGGAAAAGGTTTACCTGGACCTCCTGGACCACATGGACCACGTGGAGAGCCTGGACCTTTTGGTGAGCAGAAACATCCATCCATCCTTTTCTGCTTGTTCTGAAGTCAGATTGCGGGGGTAGCACCTTGAGCAGGGAAGCCCAGACATCTCTTTCCACAGCCACCTCTTCCAGTTCTTCTGGGAGGATTCCAAGGTGTTACCAGGCCAAATGAGAGACATAGTCTCTCTAGTGTGTCCTGGGTCTTCCCCGGGGTCTCCTCCCAGTCGGCCATGCCCAAAGCACCTCCCTAGGGAGATGTCCAGGGGGCATCCTTAGCAGATGCCCAAACCACCTCAACTGGCTCCTCTCGATGTGGAGGAGCAGTGGTTCTACTCTGAATTTCTCCCAGATAACCAAACTTCTCACCCTATCTCTAAGGGAGAGTCCAGCTATCCTGCAGAGGAAATTCATTTCAACCGCCTGAATCCGCGATCTCATTCTTTCAGTCACTACCCAGAGCTCATGACCATAGGTGAGGGTAGGAACGTAGACCGACCGGTAAATAGAGAGTTTTGCTTTTTGAGCAGAAACGTGCAACATTTAATTTTATGGAAAATATCTTGTCATGTCACTGTAGGAAGAAGAAAAAAAAACACAATCACTGTTGTGAACTTCATCTTAATGTTAACAGAGTTTTGGACATGAGAGTCTTGATTTAAATAGGCTCGGACAAAATGAGATCATTTTACCGTGTGATAATGCCAAATATCAGCTTGAAAAAGGTGTCTTCAGCTTATGGTGCATATTGTTTGTAGGGCATTAACAGAGTACTCGAGTAATCTACACATCGATTGCTAGGACATCTATCGAGGTTAAAATGCACTGTCGACTAACCGTAGTGACGTCATATTATGCGACCACCATATGACTGTAGGGGGCGGTGTTGCACTGTTGCAGGTCACAGAGTATGGTGTAACACCGGGTCCAATCCACCGAACCAGAACCAGCTCCCCCTGACCTTGTTTCACAAACAAAAAGCAAAAAATATTAATCTCTAAACCTATAAAAAAATCTCTAAACATAGTAATCTCTAAAACTAAACTTAATGCGCACCACAGGTGGCGGTGGTGGTCACCCCCCCACACACACACACACGTTAAGTTTCGTTTTTGACGTGCTGCATGTTTCTTCGCGTTTGCAGTTTAATAATAATAACTAATAGTTTAGTTTTTCCTGTGACTTATTTGCAGTATGATAAATGGTAGGAGCATAATATACGCTCCCAATGTTTTGTTGGTCTTTTTTTTTTGTAAATAATTACCTTTTTTGCGGTTTTATTTATTTATTTATTTTTGTATCTTGAGATCTATGACGTCATCAAATACTCGCGTTCTACTCGGGTTTTATTATGTTAATGTCGAGTTTAAAAATTATATACCCGTTCAACCCCTAATTGTTTGTCTGTTTGTCATTTGATATTTTGTAAAAGTAATAAAAAAGGAGACATAAAAAATAACAAGTTTTTAATGTATTTTACACAGGCGTTGAAGGTATAAAGGGAGATAAGGGTTACCCTGGTCCTCCCGGTCTTGATATGCCAGGCCCTCAAGGAGAGAAAGGAAGTCCTGGGCTCCCAGGAATCCAAGGTTCTAAAGGACTCCCAGGGCCACCAGGATTACAAGGCATAGATGGACCAACTGGGAACCAAGGTGAGACAAACAAAACAATTTGAGACACAATAAAAATGCCCTTTAGATGTGCCTGTTGCAGAGCAAAGAGGGGGAATTGGAAATACTCTGGGTCCATCTGTTTGTCTGAAAACTGTGAGCATGATAACATGAAAAATGAGTGACATACTAACTTCCAGTTTGGTGTGTGGGTACATCCAGGTGTTAAAAAAAAGTTTTATTTTGAAAATTGGGTTGCCACTTAAAAATCTAAGATGACTGTTGTCATAAATGTCTGTCCATGTTGTGAGCCAGATAATTTGGGGAAAAAAAGCGAGGTACCAACTTCCGTGTTAGTGTACTGCTACATCTAGGTATAAGAAAGGTCCTCATCAAAAATTGGGTTGCCACATCAAGATCCAAGATGGCTGCTGCCATATATATAAATAAGTAAACCTTGTGAGCTGGAAAACGTACCAACTTCCCTTTGGTGTGTGGCTGCATCTAGGTGTAAGAAAGGTCACTATCACTTTTGGGCGGCTGTGGCTGAGTGGCTAGAGCAGTCGTCTGCCAATGCAAGAGTTGTGGGTTCGATTCTACCAGCAGTCACATGCTGAAGTGTCCTTGGGCAAGACACTGAACCACTCATTGCCTTAAATGTGTGTCCCATCAGTGTATGAATGTGGTAAAGCACCAATTAGTCTCTTTAGAATGATTTGTTCAATTAGTCTTTGTAGATGTTTCGTAGAGTGCTGTATGAATGGGTAAATGAGGGCACAGACTAGTGTAAAGAGCTTTGAGTATCTTGATAAGATAGAAAGGCACTATACAAGTACAGTCCATTATCAAAATATGGGTTACCACTCAAACTCCAAGATTGTCACCGTCATATATATGGTTTCCTCAATTGATTCCTATGATGGTTAAGGCCACCATTGACTACCCCCTTGCTCCACCCCTGGTGGTGAATAAAATTGCTTCCTTTCTCCAGGATCAGTCACTGTGCTACATCAAAACAAGCAAAGAATTAAACAAATAAAACCTATGTCTTTTGTTACATGTAGTTTATCTCCTACCCACTTGAATATTTTGCACCAAAGACATGAAGGTTTACTTACTTTAGTTCAGTTCCAGTTCAGAAAAGCACTCATCTTGAAAACTATGAACATTCACTGTTCAAATTCTTCATCGACGGGGGACAAGCGCACTGCTTGTTCATCAGGTTTGATTCTCCCACTCCAAGCTTTTGTCCATAGATGGTCATTTTTTTTACCCATACAGACCATTTAAACTTCTAATTAAAAATTCCAAATATACAATGTCTGTTTTTTTATAGTAATTCACTTGTTGCATGAGCAGTTAGTTTTGAGTTACATCTTGAAGGTTTAATTCAGACTTGCTTGAGAGTTATAAAGAAATAAAGCTTTTGACTCCCAAGTTTCACAACATAATAAATAACTGGTTAGTTATGATGTGTTTGAATGGTAATAAGCAGAAATTATGCTGATGCATGTTTTGTTTGATGTTTGGTAACTATTTTAAAAATTGCAGTAAACATCTGTTTAATTCTGATTTAATCATTTTGGACTATTTTGAAGCATTTTAGTCTTTTAAATGTTAGTCACAGTGTGTGTGTGTTGATTTATATATTTTGTAGGTTCAAAAGGTGAAATGGGGATCATGGGAACACCAGGAACCCCAGGATTTCCTGGGCAACCAGGGATACCTGGATCTCCTGGTTCGAGAGGTGAGCGATACCGAGTAATAAAACTCATATGTGAGCTTCTCTCTTACTGCATCAGCAGCCGTCAACTTCTATTTTTCTTTCAGGTGATCCTGGTTTTACTGGATCAAGAGGAGATATTGGAGATCCTGGACTTAAAGGTGACAGGGGAGATAAAGGTCTTCCAGGACCTCCTGGGAACTTGACCAAGGTTGAAATGGAGCACTTGAAGGGCCAAAAGGGAGACATTGGAGACCCAGGTATAAATCAACATGCTGGCTATTTTCAACATGCTGGCTATTTTGGTGGAGATTGTTATGAAATAAATAATGAATAAATCTCTAAATCGACCAACAGGTCAACTTCAGTGTCCTTATTTGCTTTAATTTAATTTGTTTTCCAACAGGCCACCCTGGTGTCACTGGAGAAAGGGGCTATGAAGGATCCCAAGGAGACCCTGGAATGCCTGGCAAAGACGGGGCTCCTGGATTACCTGGACATCAAGGCAACTTAACCAACTAACTGAACTTTCACAATCTTGACTTGCATATGTTCATGATTTGAACAACTTCTTAACTAAAGCAGTGTTTATCTCAACGTGACTACTGTATCTCAGGTGATAAAGGAGATCCTGGTTTTCCTGGAGAGCCTGGCGTGACAGGAGCACCGGGTCCCAAAGGCACTGTGGGCGAGATGGGAATACCAGGTACATGCTCTGAAATCAAACACTCATGATACAAGACTAGGAAAAGAAACCTTGAAATGTCCTGGACATGTTGAAGCACAGATGTCTGCAAGGTTTGCTTCTGAACTCAGTAATGTTTCTATAATATCTCCATCTTCTGCTTATGAGAAAGCCTCAACAACTGAGGACTTTAAGTGAAACTCTCTTTATTAACTGGTCCATTGATTTAAAAGTCAAATATTTTTACATATTTGCATGTGCTCACAGGTCCAATTGGTCCAAAGGGTACTAAAGGAAGTATTGGTACACCGGGTCATACGGGATTCCGAGGCACAGATGGTGAAAAGGGAGACCCGGGAGTACCTGGTGAGCCAGGTATTGGTCTTCCTGGGCATCCAGGAGAACAGGTAATTCATGGGTTGTGTCTACGAATGGTTATGAGATGAAAGTTTGTTGACATGGGTCAAAAATTGTTTTAATTTATTTTTATTTTATTTATCTTCTTAAAAAAACAAATCTTCATTAGTTGGCACTTTTAGAAGGGGGCTGTGTGTGGTTTAACATCTTAATGCATCAATTTTAAGGCAGAAACAAGATGCAACATCACAGATTTGATGTTTTGGGAATATTTTAAACCCTCAGAACTTTCTTTGTAAATGTCCTGATGCACACTCAATAATCCAGGTAGATCAATCTAACAGGGTTGAATCAGGTCATCTGGAGAAGAATTATTTTGGATAAAAGCCAAAACATTTCAACAAAGAAGAATCCGTCCAGAGGACCTGACTCAACCATGTGATTTCTTTAGTAAAAGTATTTCATCCACCTAACCACCTTACCATTTCTTATTTATAGCCAAACACTTTTGATAACACTTTTTGCCTGTCATGCATAAGCTTCAGGTTGGTCTCAGCCATGAGTTCCATGTTTGTACAAAGTAATTTGGGTACAGATCTGATGACATTAGCATGAACCTTGTTGCTTGCTGATTGTCGTAACTGCAGGCTTTTAAAGGCAGAACCCAAGGATGCAGGCAGGACTCGGGAGACTGTGGTTAAATAAGAAAGCACTTTTAATAACACAAAAACAAACGACTGTCGAGGCAGCAAAACTTACCTTACTGAGACACGTAGAGAATCACGAGGAGGCACTCAGGAAACACCAGGGACTCAGGAGGATTACCAGAAGAATACAAGACGATGCCCAGACGAGGAATACCACCAAGACACAGACTTATATACAAACACTGATGAGGACTAAACACAACACCTGCCAGGCTCACAGGTGTGGGAAAAGGGAAATCACACAAGAGGAAAAACACCACTGGGGCAATATCACCACACTGATAACATCAGCAGGGCTTTTTTTCTGATGCCACTGGCCATTGTTATTTTTTGTGTATTAAGTTACCACATAAGAAAAGTATATCAAGCAGATGCAGTTTTCTGTTCAACAAGGAAAGCTAAAATGGTACATATGCGGTTAAAAAGAACACAAAGAGCCAATGATGTCTAGAAATATACTGTACAGTAGCACACCAAAGTACACATCCAACTACAACGTTTCTGAGTTGTCATGAGTAGAAACACATCTTCAGACAGGAGACAGTCAGTTTGAGTACAAAAATGTATTTTACGTGGGGTCTTCACAAATTCACCATAAACAGAAAGTGATGTTTTTAAAAAGAAAAATATTTATACTTATAAATGATAGTTCTTTCCCACATGCTTCACCAGGGTCATACTGTTTCACTTGGTAGCTTTTATTGCTGATAATAAAAAAAAACATATTATACTGTACTAGTCACATGCCTTCATCGTTTATTTATGTAATAAATCAGATATTCAAGAAGCATGCAACTATAATTTGTTTTAAAAATTGGATAATTTTCATGGCTATTAGTTAATTTTGAATATATAAGTAATGTTTCTTCACATAATCTTTGTTTCCTCTATCAGTACTTCAGTTCACTTAAGGTTTAATTAGTTTTGACTCTTTATTTTAATAATTCTTTGCTTATTTTTATTTTTTAAATTTCTGTCACAGGGTCAGACTGGCCAGCCAGGGTTTCCAGGACCACGTGGGGATAAAGGTGAGAAGGGTCAAGAGGGAATGCCTGGGAAACCTGGACTGCAAGGAGCCAAAGGAGATCATGGGAGCACCGGGTACCCAGGTCAGACTTCAGACTGAGACATCTCATTAAATTCACCAAATAATACAGAGTTAAACATGTAACTTGTTTTCTTGTTTCAACGTGCTCTTTCTCTGGTTTGTGTGTTAGGTCAGCCTGGTAGACCAGGAGATAAGGGTATCACTGGACTCCCTGGGTCTGCAGGAGACCCAGGTCGTGATGGCCGTCCTGGTAAGTTAAATTCAGGCATGAGACACATTTTGACATAATTTCCTTCACATACCTCATAATTTATCTCACAAATCAGGTTTTTATTTAAATTAATTTAGTTTGACAAATAACTGGACACCCAACTGGTCAATATGTTATTACGCCTAAACCTTCTGCCTCTCAAAGCCCCCAGTTTGGTAAAAAAAAAAAAAAAAAAAAAAAAAAAAAATGTTTAATTAACAAGGGTTCTCAGCTTTTTCATTTCAGCCATGTTCCAAAATGAAAATTTATAGTTTGAAGGCATTTCACTTGTTTTTTGAGCCATGTTGACGTCAGTAAACGGCAGGGTGACTAGTCTTTTCATGATAGCAATAAATTAAGCTAATTTAAGCAACTCTATAGTCAAATGCAAATTAAATTATAACAAGTATGTTTGGGTTTTTTTCTGCAGGTGAAGGTGGTCTACAAGGGCCTCCTGGTGTTAGGGGAGAGAAGGGGGAGCCTGGAGAGGATGGCATCCCTGGATCCACCGGGGAGAGAGGAGACCCAGGTTAGTTCTCATTTAGGACAAGGCTGACGTGAACATGTAATGAAAGTCAACATATTATTATTATTATTATTGTTATTATTGTTATTATTATTATTATTATTATACATTTAATATATAACACTATTTTGGAAACACAAGGAATCTTTACAAAAAGAGCTAAACTAACAAAGCAACAAAAATAAATTACAAAATAAAATGAGCATAGTTGCTCAATTTTAACTTGTCAGTTTTGTGTAACCTGGAAGACAAACAGCTACAAATTTATAATCAAACACTAGCGTCTCAGAAGAATCAACAGTTAGCAAAATATTTTATGAACCACTGAACAGATTTTATTGAAACTTACATCACTGGATGTAACTCTATAATAGATTAACCTTCAGGAAAAAAAAACTAATTTAAAATGGCCACTTCAATTAATTGACATTGGCCAACACATAAATGGTTTTCACCCATCCATCCATTATCTTCCGCTTGTTCTGGAGTTGTGTCGGGGGGGCAGTAGCTTGAGCAGAGACCCAGACATCTCTTTCCACAGCCACCTCTTCCAGCTCTTCAGGGAGGACCCCAAGGTGTTCCCAGGCCAACCGAGAGATATACGTTAGTCTCTTCTGCGTGTCCTGGGTTTTCCTCGTGGTCTCCTCCCAGTCGGATATGCCTGGAAAAATTCCCTTGAGAAGAATCCAGGGAGCATCCTTACCAGATGTTCAAACAACCTCAACGAAAATGAATCAGGAAACAGTGGCACAACTGGAAGAGCTGCTGCCTCTCAGTGAGCAGGATACCTCGGTTCAAATTCCGGTCCGAGGGCCTTTCTGGGTGGAGTTCGCATGTTCTCTCTGTGCATGCATGGGTTTTTCCGGGTACTCCGGTTTCCTCCCACAGACCAAAAACATGCATTTTAGGCTGATGAATAAAACTAAACTTTAATGTGGAGGTAGCAAAGAGTCATCCACAGACTCCATCCATCCATCACTGTGTGAGAGGCTGGGTATACCCTGGACAGGTCTCTTGTCCATCCCAGGGATGCATAAACACATGAGACAAACAACCCTTCATTCCCTCACTCACACCTAGGGACAATTTAGAGTTACCAGTCAGCCTAACATGCATGTTTTTGGTCTGTGGGAGAAAACTGGAGTACCCGGAAAAAAACCCTTGCATGTACGGAGAGAATATGCAAACTCCACCTAGAAAGAACCCAGCTAGGATTTGATCAGGTGACTGTCTCACTGAGAGGTGGCAGCCCTACCAACTGATCCACCATGCTGCCTCAGCATAGACTCTGAGCACATGTACTATTGCATGAGATTTTGCATAATGTTACTTTCAATTTTCACCAAACTAAAACTTTGCCAGTTCTCAACATGAGATGATGAAACTCTGGCAGGGGACTGCATGAAAGTATGATTAGGCAGTTATTTTTACACAGGAGCTACTGCACATGTGTGCAGTAGAAGGCTTCCATCATTGGCACCTAGGGGTTCAGACCTGGAGAGGCTGTTAAAGGTCTTGCTCAAAGGCCCAGAGTGGGGCAAATGAGGGTGGAGACAGGTGTATGTGCTTCACCTTTTCCACCTAATTTTAAAATGATATTCTTAATAGCCAATTAATGGTGGGAGTGGTGGCACAGAGGTTAGAGAAGGTGGACCTGCGACCCTAAGATTGCCAATTTGACTCCCCAGACCGACAACATCAAAATATGGGTGGAAAAATTGAAGCAGCCACATCTTCAGTCATAGACTGAGACCACTGAGGTGCTCCACAGAATGCCACAGGAAGTCCTTCCTCCCTGTGGCTATCAAACTTTTCAACTCCTCTCCCTTTCTACACATAGGACAATAAAATCAATCCTGCACCACAATAAACACTTTGATGTTTATGTCTGCACCTGACCTGTTTTACAACCTAATTGTTGGTATTTTTATATTCTCTGTTATTTTTTTATACATTGTGTGATTTCTTGTGTACGTTTCTTTGCATTGAAAGTCTGGCACTACAATTTCCTACGCGATCAAAAAAGTTCAATCTTATCTTATCTTATCTTATCTTATCTTATCTGCTTCCACCCTCATTTGCGCCACTCTGGGCCCTTGAGCAAGGCCCTTAACCCCCACCATCTGCTCCCCTGGGGGGCCCAAATGGCAGCTCTCTGCTCCACACAGAGGGCTGTGGTAGCTCGGTGGTCTGTGGTTGCATCAGGAAGGACATCTGGAGTAAAAACAATCACAAGACTTCATGCGAGTTAGTTCGCTGTGGCGACCACCGAAGAAGGGAGTAGATGAAAGAAGAAGAAGGAAAAAAAACTTAATTGCCAATTAATTAAAGGACTGTGTCCCAATAATTAGACTAATACTAATAATTTACATTGATGAAAGATTGATGCACTGCTTTGAGTTTATATGAGCTTATTAATACAGTACTTAACTCTAAGTAACCTATCTTTTTTATTGTTATTTTAAATCAAATAAATATGTCTCTGCTATTTTCTGCAGGTCTACCTGGTGTAGGTTTGCCTGGACCACCTGGAACTCTTGGTGTCAAAGGTAATAACTCGTCCATCACTGGCTTCTATGAACCTATGACCGAAATCTGTTTTTCCATGCAGCTTGATCTTTTTCTCTCCAGGTGACAAAGGTGGTGCAGGTGTACCTGGCATGCCAGGTCATCCAGGTATCCCTGGCCTCAGAGGAGACAAAGGACTTCCAGGCCCACTGGGACCCCAGGGAGAACCAGGAGAGCCAGGTCCTCCAGGCATCTCTGTAGAAGGCCCCAAAGGAGAGAGGGGAGAAACAGGAGCAGTTGGTGAAACAGGTACTGTGTTAAGGTCTGATGAAAAATGACATGAAATTAACTTTTAATGTTTATGATGCTTTCCTGTCAGAAATATAGCAAAATTTATAGATGGCAAAATAAAGATTACTTCTTGTGTTGTATTATAAACAGGATCCTCGGGAGCACCAGGACCTGCTGGTGTGCCAGGCAGAGATGGACAAAAAGGAGAGACTGGTGCTCCAGGTTTACCTGGTTACCAGGGAGAGTCAGGACACAAGGGAGACCCTGGAACTCCTGGACTTCCTGTATGTCATTAGACGGTTTTCACACTTTGTCTCTTACTCCACGTGTTATTTACATGACAGATTACTGACTCATGAAAGTAAGAGCTGTTCAAAATGATTAATTCTGCAGGGTCCAACTGGACTCCCTGGTATTGACGGTCAGAAGGGAGAACGAGGATTACAGGGTGTTCCAGGCTTCCCAGGTGAGTCCTCACAATGTGACAGAATATAATTTACAGTGTACGTCCACCTCCATGAAATGTTGATTTTATTTGACAAACCTTTTGTTTCCCACTGAATGTCTTTGCTCTAGTTAGATTTGCTCAAGATGATACTTTTGAAAAAATATTTTAATTTACTTTTCTTCCCTATTTTGGTAGTCCACTAGTCTTTTGGCATTAGCCTGCAAAATGTTAACACTTTTTATACAGAGGACCAGATTTAAGTTTTTTAGATTTTTCTACCTGGATTATTGAGCATGCATCAGGACTTTTTATACACATTTTGTTGATTATTTTAAAGCCCATTTCAAGTCACTTTGAGAAATGTGCTTAAGATTCAAATGCGGGCAATGATTTAGTGTTTCTGGTACTATTTGATCACTTTTGCTGAGTCACTCTTTGGTGGGTGGTTAGTGTTTTGACTGCTGTTACATGAGTCATCTTGAGCCTTTGGGGTAAATGGCTTTACGGTATCTTCAGACGTTCTCTGACATCATGCAGAATGACTTCATAGCTGATTCAAACACCAAGCTGCCAACTTCTTGAAGTAGTGAAGCAAACCCCAAAGAAAAACAGCTCTTGAATCACAGTTGGGTTGATCGACCACAACTCTCAGATTGAGCCTTTCCAACAAAATATTTTGAACAAACAATTATTTTCTTAGTCTGTTTTCTCATTTAAACACTGTAATTTGCACTTATGGCCTTTCTGAGTAACATAATGGTATTTGAATTTATTATAAAAACATTGTTTTTTTGTTTTTGGGCATTTTTTATCTTTAAACTTGATGAGATTTGCATATTGGCTCCACGATATTTTAACATTTTTAAATCAAATTTACTTGATTTCTATATCTGTAATCATTTTAAATTGGATTTATGTTAGATTTTTTTTAATTCAAATGATGAGTATTGAAACTCATATACCCATTTAGGTACCAAGGGTTCTGTTGGGGATGCTGGATTCAAAGGAGAAGGAGGTGACCGAGGATTCCCTGGAGAAAAAGGTAATAAAAGAGGAAAATAACTATTTAGTTTTAATACCAAAACCTCACTGATCATTTTGAATTTTATATATTCTAATAAAACTGTATTTACCAGGTAATGAAGGTCTTCCTGGCCCCCCTGGCCCCCAGACCTTCATCAAAGGAGACATTGGTTTCCCAGGAAATCCAGGATTGCCTGGTCCCCAGGGCCCATCTGGGTTTCTTGGGCAAAAAGGGCAGCAAGGTGAGCTTTGTTGTCACCTGCTGTCAAAAAACAGACATACATGTTACTTCCTCTGTGTGTCTGTGTTTGTTTATCTGTTGTGTTAGCAAACTACATGTATCACATTATTTGAGCACTTCAGTTTAAAGATCTTTGTTTAAAATTTTGACATTACTGGTTGGCATCAAGGCAGCACGGTGGTGCAACTGGTAGAGCTGCTGCCTCTCAGCGAGCAGGTCTTTGGTTCAAACCCCGGTCCAGGGGCCTTTCTGGGTGGAGTTTGCATGTTCTCTCTGTGCATGCGTGGGTTTTCTCCGGGTACTCTGGTTTCCTCCCACAGACCAAAAACATGCATGTTAGGCTGATTGATAACTCTAAATTGTCTCTAGGTGTGAGTGAGAGAGTGAATGGTTGTTTGTCTCGTTTGTCTCTATGTGTCCCTGTGATGGACTTGCGACCCGTCCAGGGTGTACCCCGCCCCTCGCACAGTGATTGCTGAGCATGGGCACCGGCGACCCCCGTGACCCAAAATGGAACAAGCGGGTAAAGATAATGGATGGATGGATGGTTGGCGTCAACCCTGTCTATCTGTTAGTAAAATACCTCTAACCACTGAATAACTTGTAATAAAACTCTAAGAAAATAAATATTCGCTGAACATCCACAACTGACAACGTTTTTTAAGTCAGCCTGATTCAAGATGTCCGCCACAGTTAATCAACCTTAAACAGGAAAAAATGGCTACAACTCTGTCAATGTCACAAATATTAACCACAAGTTTTTATGTAGTAGTAGTTGAGCATCTTTCCTAACACATATTCTACGTACTAACAGGTTGCATGAGGCCTCCTTTTGAGTCAGATTTGACCAACAATGTTAAAATGTTTTCATTTTTTCCAAGATTATTTTAGTTTAAAACTTTAACGCAGGACACATGCATTCCTTCAGAATATTTCCAGTTTTTAAAGCAACCTTTTTGTTTTCTGCTCACCTGTAATAGTCAATGATGATTGAAACTATAACTTTGGTCTTGTCTTTTTTGTCAGGTTTGACGGGTATTCCAGGTCCAAAAGGTGATGATGGGCTCCCTGGGTTTAACGGTCAGTCAGGAGCAAAAGGAGAGCCTGGTCTGCCGGGGCCACAAGGTGAGCCATTCGTAGGAATGAAATGTGGTTGGTGTTTACTGTCAGGCTGTCATGTTCTAACTTATTTATCCTTCAGGACCCAGAGGGCATCCTGGCCCTCCAGGACCCGATGGTGTTCCAGGTCAAGTGGGTCCACCTGGCCCATCCTCCATGTATCATGGCTTCCTGGTGACTCGTCACAGCCAAGCAGTGGACATTCCATTATGTCCTTATGGGACTAGGCTGATATACGACGGCTACTCTTTACTTTATGTGCAAGGCAATGAACGCTCCCATGGACAAGACTTGGGTGAGGAACATGTCAAGGGGGGCAAAAACAAACACACAGAAATGTAGAGGAGAAACGTGAAAAAGCTTTGAGGTGGAACTACAAGCTGTGGGTTTCTGTGTTTCAGGTACGGCAGGCAGCTGTCTAAAAAAGTTCAGCCCTATGCCCTTCCTGTTCTGCAATATCAACAACGTTTGCAACTTTGCCTCTCGTAATGATTATTCCTACTGGCTCACCTCACCCGAGCCCATGCCCATGAGCATGGCACCTATTACCGGGGACAGCATCAAACCCTTTATAAGCAGGTTTGTCAATCACTCTGTCCTTACCACTGTTCCAGCTGTGTATTTAACAATAACAAGTGTTAATTTAATCTGTGCATGTGCAGATGTGTTGTGTGTGAAGCTCCAGCCATGGTGATAGCTGTTCACAGTCAGACCATCATGATCCCACCATGCCCTGAAGACTGGGACTCTCTGTGGATTGGTTACTCCTTCGTTATGGTGAGTTAATTCACTCCGAGTAAATCTTGTTCATGTATCACAGAAGGAAAGCTCTATTTGGCTCTTTCTTGAATTTTAACTAAAGAAGTTGCAATTCCTGTGAAAATAAAGTGTGAATGCTTATTGCAGAACTTATGCTTAAAGCAGAACTTGCTGAAAAACAGTTGAAATTAGTTTAGTTTAAAATACTTGCAGAAATACAGCTGAAAATGTAGAACAAGCGTATATCAGCAAGAGAAAAAAGAAATAACACAAATGTTGAAATGAGTGCAAAAAATGTGGAATTAGTTGAAAAAGCTAATATTAGCATAAAAACAGGTAAATAGTAGCTGAAATAACTGAAACTAGAATAAACAAGCTGAAAGGAGCATAACAAGTTGTAATTAGCATAAATAATTTAATTAGGTTAAAAGTAGCAGAAATTAGCATGAAAAACTTGAATTTATCTGAAAACAGCTTAAATTGGCTAAAATATGCTAATAAGTTAAATGAAAAAAGTAGAAAAGCTAAAAATAGCAGAAGAAAGCAGAAAGAACACATTTGCCCAGTTAAACTCTCAATGAGATTACCTGTATAAATAGAGTAAATGAAAAAACTGAACGAAAGCAGAAATGAGCACAAACGTGGAAATTACTTAAAAAAGGCTGAAATAGGCATAAAACCAGCTGAAACATAGTTAAAAAAAGGGAGAAAGAAGCTGAAATTACAAAACGGAAGTAGAGAGAACACATTGTTGCTGAAAAAAGTATAACTGAGTGCAACAAAAATGGAATTAGCTGATAAAGCTAAAATTAGCATAAAACAGCTTAGGTAGCTGAAAGAGCAGAATTAGCTGAAACTTGTTGAAATGAACTGGAAGGAGCATAACAAGCTGAAGTTAGCAGAAATAAGTTAGAAGAAGCATAAAAATGTTGCAGTTAGCTGAACGAAGCTGAAAGGAACATAAAACAGTTGAAAAAACAGCTGAAAGTAGCTGAAATTAGCAGAAAGAAGTTAGTAGAAGTACAGACATTTTACAATTAGCAGAAAGAAGCTGAAAGGAGCACAGAACAGCTGAAAATAGCTGAAAGTAGCTGAAAAAAGTTTAAATTTGCACAAGGAAGCTGAAGCAGAAAAAATGTGAAAGGAGCAGTAAAAGGTTGTAAACAGATCTAAAGATTTGAAGGAGGTAAAATGAGCTCATTTCATTTTCTATGAGAAAGTAAGTGGCAGAAAAGACTAAATATTTTAAAAAGCTAAAGATGCACCAATGCCAAAAGTCATAGCACCCTTCTCCTGAAAGAGCTGAATGTTTTGATTTATGATTTGTTGAAGTAGCACAAAAATTGTGGAACGCAAAAGATGCTGAATTTTTTTATGGAAGAAAAATGAATCATAATTGTGTGAATGCTTCATAAACATTCACACAATTGTGATTCCTAGAATGACAAACGTGGTAAAGCTTTATAATCTTTTTAGGTTTATTGATCAGTCCAGCTTTAATTTAGATCTAAGTTTGTATAATTTGGTTAATTGAAGAACAAAAAAACCAACCTATATTTAGAGAAATCATTTTAATCACAGAAAGTAACGTTTCCTTTCTTTTCTTTGCCTTCTCTTTGTAATTCTCCGTGCAGCACACCAGTGCAGGTGCTGAGGGTTCGGGCCAGGCCTTGGCCTCTCCTGGATCCTGTTTGGAGGAGTTCCGTAGCGCTCCGTTCATCGAGTGTCATGGTCGAGGAACCTGCAACTACTACGCCAACTCCTACAGCTTCTGGCTCGCTACCATCGAAGACAGTGACATGTTTAGGTACGTTACACCACCTGTGTTCACACAAACTGTTAGAGAACAAAGTAAAACCCCTGATAGTTTTGTTTTCGATGATCTCTTGTGGTTTAAGCTCCCTCTTTGCCTAAATGCACAGGCGGTCCCAAATACTGAATACTAACATCTACACCTCCTGGAGCAGGGTCTGCCACCGGTGGTTCTTTGGTCCCACTGCAGCGGCCAAAATTAACATATCATTTATTCACTTTACTCACTTTACATTTGTCATTTTACATCACAGAGACCTGCAGAGCTCAGTGTTTTAATTCTTTATCAATATTGGAACAAACTATAAATTTGTTTCCCTTCTTTAAATGAATCTTTTATAGCTAGCTAGCTATCTATCTAGCTAGCTAGATAGCTATCTAGCTAGCTAGCTAGATAAATGGATGGATGGATGGATGGATGGATGGCTGGCTGGCTGGCTGGCTGGCTGGCTGGCTGGATGGATGGATGAATGGATGGATGGATGGCTGGATGGATGGCTGGATGGATGGATGGATGGATGGATGGATGGATGGAGAGTTAGAGAGTTAGATATTTTATTAATCCCAGAGGAACATTCGAGGCATCCAGTAGCCTGTTCTAATAATACAGAAAAAAAACATGAAATAATCAAAAAGAAGCAGAATACACAAATTTGGAAAAAGACAATATGCACAAGGTGCTTACATTCATGAATAACCTAGATATATATGTTTACATGCATACACATCTAAGAATACATATACTGTATATATACATATGTATATGTACTGTACATGTATATATTCATAAGTGCCTGGTAAGTAAGTACAAGACATAAATATTTTTATTTACCGAGCAAAGGGACAGACATGGCTTGTTATTATTATTTAACACAGTTAACACAATTTAATTACTAACATAGCTGTCTTGCATCACTTGCAGTATTATCCCATGGTGTGGTCCAGTGCTTCAGAAAAATACTTAACCAAACTACAATTAGTCCAAAATACAGCAACTCATCTTGCACTGAATGGTTCCATATATGCAAATATTATCAGTTTGTACAAAGCATTAAGTTGGCCTTTGGTTAAAATTAAGGTTGAAATTGCCCTTTCCTGCTTTTTTTTTGCTTTTTTTTAGAAACATTGTGGTATCTAAGATACCAAATGTTTTATATAATCAACTTTTATTTAGCCAAACTTTACACAATTTTAATGCAAGGCATGCTTTCAAAGGTTGTTTTACTCATCCACCATGCAACTGGAATGCTGGACAAAACACTTATTGTTAGAGGAATGAAAAACTGGAACTCTCTTCCTTCATCTGTGTTTAATGTAACAACTGCTAGAGCTTTTAAAAGAGTCCTGCTAAACTATTTTATTATTATTTTATATAATAAAATAATAAACTATTTTATTATATAAAATGTTATAATTTTACATTTATGAATTAATTATCATATAATGCTATTCTACTAATGTTATATTAAGTGTATGTAACTGTCTTTGTAATACATGTTTTTAAATTATGTTGATCCCAAGAAGAGATGGCTATTGGGGATCCAAATAAATAAACAAATAAACAAAAAAATGTATATTTTTATCAAAAACATTGCAGACCCATGTCATAGATGTGTCTGAGGTCAAATGTAAAAATGAGCTTTAATTTTTTATTAATGGGGAAGTGATAAGTTTTCATATTTTAGAATTGAGCCTATTTTCTTTATTTGATTTTCTTGTACATCCCAATAAGATTTACCTCTGACAATTATTGTTGTTTGTTTTCCAGGAAACCTGTCCCAACAACTCTAAAAGCAGGCAATCTCCAAACCCACATAAGCCGCTGTCAGGTGTGCATGAAGAGGACATAAACCCAACGTCAGCGTCTTAAAAAAACTCAGCTTTACTTCCTGTTTAAATGGTGCTACTTCCTCGCCTGGCATGTGTGAACGAAGAGGAACAGCCGGAGATTGAACTTTACAAACCAAAACACAGAGACCAAAAAGCCATTTTGCTCCAAGCTGAAACACGATCACACGTTTCTGAAGAATGGCTCCCAGTTTACCACTGCACTGAGTTCAAGCCCCTGAAACTGGTTCACTGGTGGTCATTTTCCAAGGGCTGTTTGTGGAGGTCAGGTGCTATTGAATTTGAATTGTCTGCCTTTGCTTTCTGTTAACTTTCCCTTTTGTTACAATCCCGCACATTTAACTACACCTTGAAAATATTCACACCTAGTACTTTGTTTAAATCTACTAATGAACAGGATGGGACTTACCACTGGTTTCACACACCATTTCACAAACATGTTGCAGACAGTCATGTACTCTGTTGTAAATACCATACATTCCTTTTTAACATTATCATAATCTCCTCAGGTTATTACTGTATTCATTGTGTGCTATTAAGCCAATTTTTATTTATAAAGTTTAAAAGATTATGTTGAGTTTATCTGAAATTCCATGTATCCATAAACAATCGATCAATGTTTGACCGCCATATTAACAAAAAAAAACAGCACTGAAATCTCATTGACTGGTTTTGTGTGTGTGTGTGTGTGTGTGTGTAGTATGAATGCATCTGAATGAGATAGCAATTGTGTGTGAGTTGTAATTTCTTCATATATATTACTGAATGCCCTTGCTGTTACTTTATCTAATGCCATTTTATTTTTAAACTCTATCTCTCCAAATTTAAGTTGTTCAAAAAGTCATCTACAAAATTGTTTAAATGCGTAAAACCTTTTCACAGAGCTTCACTTTGAAATACAGTATGTGTCAGTGTTTTTCACTAGAACTTCCTCATCTTAGTTCCCAAATAAATGCACATGTACTGTATATACTGTATACTAACATGTACTTGCTGTTTTGCTTGTTTACTTGACTGTTCCTGTTTGTGAATTCCTTTTTTTTTTTAAAAAACCTTGTTGGATTAAGTGTAAAATGTAGCAGTCATCAAGATTAGAATCAGGAAGTCGTGGTTGCACATTAAAGATTTACGTGTTGGGAAGAGTTACAGATTAGCATTTTTAGCACATTTAGAATTCAGTTCAATTCAGACACTTGTTGATTCAGAAAATCTCCAAACATTGTCTATTTTAGAGCAATTTGTTGCATCCAGTCTACACTCTACTATGATAAAATGTAATAAAATGTAAAAAAACAAAAACAAAAAAAAAAAACCCCATCAGTTTACTGGCTCACCGTTGAATTGGTCACAGTGATTTAAAAACAGAATATATATTTTTCCCATTTCATGATGTGTAATTCCTGCAATAAAACGATGTGTAGATTTTTCTTAATAATTTATCACAAGTTTGTGTGTGTGGAGTGGTTCTTGTTTTCATGACATATAAGGGCATGTTTATGTTTTCCTGGAAGCATGAGTTGAAAACCATTCGATTCTCAGGCCTCTAGAACCTTTGGAAAGGCACGTACCCATTTGTCCTATGTTTGTCATACGTCCTTATATTTCATGAAAACACGTATGTGTGTGTGTAGGTGTGTGTTTGGTTCTATTAAATGCTGCAGTACCATATTTAGACCACTAGAGGGCAGCATTAGCGCACTTTGATTGGAACACTCTCCATTCCTTCCTGGTTGGATGACTCAGCTGTGATTTTTTAAAATTTTATTATTCTTTATAATAATTTACCAGCATCTAGCAAATGACATTCAGCAAAATATATGATGAGCAATAATTTAAGCGCAGCCTCCGCAGCAACACTTGCAGCCACTGCCTCAGCACTTCTGCTGGGACGGTGGCCAACGAACTCTCTCACCCCACAAATACACAAACGGATCGATTTGTTCTTACAGAAGACCAGATAACCCCTCCGCCTTTATTTATTGCTGGAACCCTATCCCTTGTTTCCTCTTTCGTCAACAGAGAGGCAAGCAGAGCCCTTGAACTCGGGCCATCTTCATAAACACGTCTGATCAGGCCTTAACCTCTGACCGGAGAATGTGAGGTCACAGTGGGAGTCAGGGTGGTTGAACGGCACTGAAAGGTCAGACGGACTGAAGTCAGGTGCAGACATGGAGCAAGTGGCCTCAGTGACTGCTGCTCATTTGATCCAAAGTTGCAGTTGGAGGGAAAGTTAGATTTTAGGTGATGCTACAAAAACAATTGTCTTTTTTTACAACTATTTTTTGTGTAAAAATCATGCATTTTCATTTAGCAAACTTAGACTTCATTTCACTTTAAGTCACTATTAAATATAATTTACATATTTCTCTTCTGTTTTATTGGGTCCATGCTACTCCAGATACTTTTTACAAGGAAGATTTTCTGCTGCGTTTGCACATCCCATCCAAACAAACAGAGTTTTGTTTATTTCTTTTGATTTTTAGGAAAAAAGTGAAACTCATTTCAAACACATTCCAAAGTGGAGATTGTTAAAAAAAACTTGGTGCATTGTTGTGGACTTAAAATATGAGGCTCTTCAAAAATGCACAGTAGCACCCTGTTTCACTTGTGCTCAATATCACCACGTGCCCTGGACAAACAAAACAAACAGCAAAAACATTGTAGTCATTTTAAACATTCTTTTTAAACTGTCTTGCTTTATGGGCTAAAACGGTGGCACAGTTGGTAGAGCTGTCACCTCTCAGCAAGAAGGTCGTCGGATCGAACCCCGGCCGGGGGCCTTTCTGGGTGTAGTTTGCATGTTCTCTCCGTGCATGTCTGTGCTTTCTCCGGGTGCTCCGGTTTCCTCCCTCAGGCTAAAAACATGCATGTTAGGCTGATTAGTAACTCTAAATTGTCCCTAGGTGTGAGTGAGAGAGCGAATGGTTGTTTGTCTCGTTTGTCCCTGTGATGGACTGAGACCTATCCAGGGTGTCCCCCACCTCTCCCACAGTGACTGCTGGAAATGGGCACCAGTGACCTCTGTGACCTGAAAAGGAAAAAGCTTGTAAACATAATGGATGGATGGATAGTTTACTTTTTAATGACACACATGTTAATGCAATTGATCAATTTAGCTGTTTGTTTTTAGCACATTAAAAGTGAGTAATTTGAAATTTAAAGAAACTTCAAGCAACATTTTTTTTGTATGCATGCATAGGTGTCGTGGAGCAGAGAAAAATGAAGCATCATAAGCTGATTTACAAACAACATCAACACCGTGCATGTGGTTAGGGTCAGTCCTTAGGAGTGCTCAGGAGCTTTCAAAGGTTTTACCTCTTTAAGTAATTTAATCTTGTCGGTTGTTTGCTAACACAACTAAATTGAGACCCAACTTAAGGGTTACAATCACCTTCAATGAGCTTTGGTAAATATTAGCTCCATCAACTGCCCATGATGTTTCACTGGCAGCAAAGTGAGGAACTGCAACAAGAACATGACGCACTGCTTTGGGCGAAGTGGAGATTTTATTGCAGGTAAAACTGCACCTTAAATGTTGACGAAAACTGAGCTTGTGTTTGCCGAAGTCTCTGAACTTAATCTCGATCTGTCAGATCGGAGGAGGAGATTTGTGTTGCCGTAACCTTTCGTCCGAGTGGTTCATGCAAAGGCCACCACCTTTACCACACCTTCCTGACCCCCACTGGGCTAGGCCAAAGACAGATTACTTTGCAGCATGGCAGGAAACACAAACCCAAATGGAGGACGTGCAGAGGGACACGCAAACGGTGCCTTAAAACTCTGCAAACAAGAACTTTTACCTGCATCTTAAAGGGGTTTTAAAGCAAGCTGTTGCTTCAGCAGGAGGCTCAGACATGACGGTTTATAAACACAGTTATCAATTCAGAATGGACTTTTGTCTTGAGTCGGCTATCAAAATACAGAACTGGAAAATTAAATGTTCTCGTAAACATTTTTAATTGTTTCTAATGAGTAAGATATGGTCTAAATGCTCACTTCCCTCTACTGTAGCTACAAAATATTAAAAGGCACCAAATGACATGAATTTCAAAATAGTTGATGTTTTTAAAACATGCAAAGTGGAAAAAAAGGTTTTTTGGATTTTTTATTTTCCGAACTGAACTTTGCAGCTGTTGTGAATATTCTTTAAAGAAGCATTTTATTTTATAGCTGCCACAGGCTTCCTGTCAAAGTTGACTAAACACTCGTAGCTTCTTTAATTCTGCTGAGTGTACGAGTGAGGTTTGGTTTTCATAAACTCACGCTAAGACCAACATTACACAACACAGCCACACGTTCCTGCACCATTAGCTACATTTAAATAATCTGCAACATCATCAGGACATCGCATGAACCCGTTAAATAAACTTACAGTCGAACTGCGTTTTTTTTTTAAAGGGGCACACAAGAAAGTTAAGCTTTTTGAAAAATAGCAGAAATGTCATAAATCAGTCATATTGTTAAAACAATAATCACAGAGTCAAATTCCTAAAAATATCCCTGACAAAGTTAGAATAACTTAAAACAGAACATCTTTTTTGTGCTCTATGATGTGTGACTTTAAAATGCCGCAGAACTACTCAGGGTGAAAAAAGAAAAAGAGAAGAGATAAAAACAAAATTTGTTTTGACAGAATCTGTACAATCTGGAATAAAAGATTTAGATAAACTGAAGTTAAAATGTAATCCATGCATGACTTTAGGAAGAATCTGTATCACAGATTTAATTAAAAAAATTTATTTTTCTTTTATTATGATTATACTAAAACTTTATTACATGAAACATTTAACCTTCAATGCAAGATTGAAAAAATTAACAGTTTGTACTTCAAGAGGATGGATTTAAAAATTATACATAAAAACATATGTTAAAAATATTAATTTTCATTCACACTGACTGATCAGCATGGCTTCCAAAGTACACCATAAAGTTTTATTTTATTTTTTATTTTTTTAATAAATATTTGTCTTTTTTTTGTTTGTTTGTTTACGGCTCACTCATACTAACTTATTCTACTTTAAAAAAAAAAAGTTTACAAACTGTAATAGATGAAATTATGACTGGAGCCAAACTTAATTTTGTTATATCTGCCCATTCATTATAAGCATTCATGTTGTTGTTTTTTACATAATTTATATCTGTGCTTTGACATTTGAACTAATAGAAAACAAAAGGGATGGTTCAGATTTTTTTAAACAAGGTCTTGTGGAAAGTTTATGAACAGTCAACATCCTACATGTTCTTGATATAACTTTGAATGACCTCAGTTTAGAGGAATAAAGTTTAATTCTGACTATATTGAAAAGTTAACAACGAGTTGAGGTGGGGTCCAGTCTCAAACATTTCATAACCGTACATTCAAACTGTATTTTACATACCATATTTTTTGCTGTATAAGTCACACTTTTTTGCATAATTTGAATATCCTGTGACGTATTTATG